TGCAAATCTCAGGCACATGCTAAGTACCTTAGACATACATATTCTTTTTCTCTCTGTCCCCCTCTTCCCACAGAGCTATGTAGTAGGTGGCTCTGTTACCCCATTTTACATGTGAGAAAACTGAGGCATGCTGAGGTAATTTTTGGTATTATTTGGTTTGTCAAATAGCTCTGAACAGTAGAACTGCGTTTGGTGCCCTACAGTAAAGATCTAGTGATGTCTTTAGCCCCTCATCTCAATAAGTCTAACTAAGCCTTCAGAGGCCTTTTTAAAAATAAAAATTTAGTACCTGTTAAATTCTTCAATTCAGCACTGCCAGGGTCCGTTCCATTGAATCAATGGCTTAGCTGGTATTTTCCCTTTTATTTACATTGTTTATTTTCTAGCAGTACCTTCCTTTGCCAATAAAATAAAACTGGGTATACAGACATGTACCCCACCCTGTGCCCTCAATAAGTGATAGTAAAGAATAATTCTTAGATGATTCTTTATTTCCTGCCTCCCTCTCTCCTTCCCTTCATTTCTCTTCCTTCCCTTCTTTTTTCTTTTTTTTTTCCCCCTAGAATTTTTCTATTTTATTTTATTCACCAGGACCAAGCTGGGATAAAACACACACATTATTTTAAAAGAAATAAAGAAGGCTGTTTCATAGCTTCAAATGGAGCCTTCAGCTGGTGCAATGACACATGTAATCCCAGGAGCTCAGGAGGCTGAGGCAGGAGGATCACAAGTTCAAAGCCAGTCTCAGCAACTTAGCAAGGCCCTAAGCAACCTAGGGAGACCCTGTCTCAAAATAAAAAGGGCTGGGGATGAAACTCAGTGGTTAAGTGCCCCTGGGTTCAATCCCTGGTACCAAAACAAAACAAAATAAAACAAATGGAGCCTTACATTCTTTCAAAATAATACACCTTACAGCTTCAAAGGATGAAGAGGTTGGATAAAGAGAATAGTAAAATATCGAAAAGCTTTTCAGGTGACTATAATTTGAAATACATCTCTAACTTAAAAAGATAATTTTATAACCTACATTGTCTCTTTCTTTACATGTTCATTGAAACCATGGAAGTTCTGTGAAAAAACAAATCCCTACTTCAAAAAGGAACTTGGAATTTTCGAGATGTACACTGAGATTTGTCTCCCAGAGCTAATACTGAAACAGCCAAGCGTTAATGAAACTGCTGGGTGATACTGATAGTAGCAAAAATGTCAATGTTCTGACGTCAACCTGCCTGAAATAGGAAGCAGGCACTTCTGAAGCTGAACTGAAAACCCAGACAACTCACCCGTCCCAGACTTGGTGGATGACGCTGGTCTGGCTGCTAACACACTGCCCAGCAAGCTGGCCACCTCGAGATGGAGACCAGCAGACAAGAAGCTGAAAGCACTAGCAAGACCTGCTGTTGGACTTTACGGCCTTTCTTTGATTGCTGGTTTCATCACTGAATTCATACACATCAGTGCCAAGTCCTGTGGGGTAGTCATCATATAACTATCTCATTTTGCTCCATTGGGATTTTTATGACTAGCTGGAGCAAGAAGTAGGAAATTGGTTATGAGGAAAGGATTTTAGAGGCTTAGGTCTGAATCCCAGCTCTGTTCTGGACATCTAGTGATTTTGCCAGCCCAGCACCCACTTGTCCATTTTCTGGAAATAGTACCTTCCTTTTTCTGACAGGGAACTACTCCTTCCCACATTTTGTGCCAATAATCAAATCTTAAAGACAATAAGGCATGTAAGCCAAGCTATGACAATGAGATTCAACCTCACAAATACAAATTGTGAGCCATGAGCACAGGAAGTGGTTGGAGCTGGTTATCCCTGTGTTTTTTGTTTTTGTTTTTTTCTGAATAAACCGGTTCATCCATTCCTGCATCCTGTATACAAGGAATTCTTCTATTTTTTTTTTATTTTATCCAGTGATCCAGTTGTTCACCTTGGACTCTGAGCTACTCTGTGCCCTTCCAATGTATTTGTTTTACTTATCCAGGGCTCTAATAGCCAAAGGGCTCTACTAGTCTAAATAAACTAAGTGAATCATATCTCTAATATCCATGACCTTCAGCAGATATAAAGTATTTGGTTCAACCTTATAAAAATGAACTAAAATTTGACAATTAAAATATATTATTTTAAAATGTAAGATAAAAATAACCATGGAACATTAACTTAATCTTCCTAATAAGTTACCTCATAACTTAAAATTTTACTAGGAAGGCCTAGTTCCCAGACTTGTTGGAAGAATTGAATGAGAATATTCCTGGAAAATGTCAAGTACACCATACACCAGAACCCGTGACCTGTATTTATTGGCCATCATTGCTACATAATATCTATAGCATTAGCATCTTAGTCCAAGGCAAGTTTAAACATAATATGAGCTGTGCTAATATTATGCCATTTAGTAACTTTTTTGAGTTCTTAAAAATGCAGGAACACTTGCTAAAATAGTCATATTTAGAGCAGAAAATTTACAATTTGAATATTTTAAGTAGTTGGTGTTCAATTTTTTTATGTGTGTGTATGTGTGTGTGTGTGTGTGTGTGTGTGTGTGTGTGTGTGGTGGTGGTGGTGCTGGGAATTGAACTCAGGGCCTTGTGCAATGTGAGTCAAGCATTCTGCCACCTGAGCTATATCCCTAGCCCCCAGTATTCAATTTTTTAAAAAAATTTCTTTAGTTGTAGATGGACACATTATATCTATTTATTTGTGTGTGTTTTTAATATTTAATTTTTATTTATTTATTTTGAATACATACATTCACAAGTTTCAAACTTTGAAAGGCTATGTAGAAAAAAATTACTTTCCCACTCTTATTCTTTAGCTAACCAGTAACTTTCTAGAGATAATCAACATCACCAGAATCTGGGATTCTTTCCAGAGAAAGAAATATAAATTGTTCAATCTTATCAATATTTTTCCTAAATAGAAAAGACTATAATACTTTTCTGTGTCTCAATTTTGTTGACTACTGTATTTAGGTAATCATTTCATATAGCTACATAAAGAATATCTTATTTTCATGGTTGTATAATATTTTATTATGGGTGAACTAATCCCCTGTAAACAGACATCAAATTTGTTTCCAATCTTTTGTTATTGAAAAGAATGTTGAAACAAATGATCTTGTGCTTAAATCTTTTTTTTTTTTTTTGGGGGTTCTGGGGATTGAACCCAGGGCCTTGTGCAATGTGAGTCAAGCATTCTAGATGGACACATTATCTTTATTTTTATGTAGTGCTGAGAATCGAACCCAGGCAAGGCAAGCGCTCCACCACTGAGTTACAATCCCAGCCCTGATATTAAGTTTTAATAAAATAGCTTTGATATACTACAAAACAAAGGAACTGATTTCAGTAAGAATATATGAGTAAGATTTTCACTATTCAAGTAGGAATTTTGAGTATTCCTAGGAATTTACAGCATTTCATTCTGAATAATAAGGTGACTCAGTGGCAAGACACATTCAGGAGATCATGTCAACCAACTGGGTAGCTAATTTAGTCTTCATATATATTTTAATATAGATGCATACATGGATGCCTTATAGATCCACTTGGAATTGCTCATGAGGTTTTACGAAACATGGATGTGCAGATAATTAACACAAAATTTGAAATACCCTTTGCCATTTTATTTTAAATATTAGTATTTTTATTTTATTAGAGTTTTTAGTTTTACATTGTAGCTGGGTTCACCTGGACAAACTCATACATGCATAAAAATCCATTTCAGTTCATCATCCTTTCCTTTTTCTCCTCTTCTGTCCCCCCACCCTCTTTATTCTACTAGACTTCCTCTTACTCATCTATTAATTTGTATTTGACTAGTTCTCTATGTCCTTGGCCATTTTTCTAATTGACTCAAGATCCTGGACATCTTTAGTCTCACACTAGTAGGCATTTGGCATAAAATATTTGTAGTCAAAGGCTGATGCAAAAGTTTAAGAGAGTCAAGTCACTTGTCTCTGCTACCTCAGTTTTCTTTTTCTTTTATCTTCTGCGGAGAAAGCACACAGTGACCCATTTTCCAAGAGCTTTCCAAATGAGCTGACATTACAAAAGTCTTGCAGCCTGTTCTGATGAGGCAGTCCTATTTTGCTGGCAGAATCAGAGGAAGGAAGAAGGCATTAGGAAAGACACTGTTGGTTGCCAGTGCCTCCTTGCAAGGCAAGAAAATCCTGATTTCATTCAGATCCCTAAATCTTCAGGTAGGGAGAGTCTCACAGAGAATCCAGGAAATGCACCTCACAGGTCTTAAGGAGCATGGTAATGCATTGCCCCTCTGCCAGTATTTAGTCCAGTGCTTATGAGGTGACCAGTTGTGCTAAACACATTTCTTAACACAATCCACAATTCCTCTCAAGGTGGCTCTGTCTCTGAACGTCTCTGCTTGGTTCTGACACCCCTACTACTGTGCCTTTGGGTGCAGGTGTGATGACAGCTCTGTTCCTTGTTCTGGAACACTGCTTTACCCTATGGACCTTCCCTTCATCCTGCCCATGTCTTTGGAAATAGTTCATTACATCATCCTCAGTTAGTCCAATGGGACTATGGCAACTGTTATCTTGATGAGACCTTGACTAATGTAGCCTGCCCAAATCAACCATGTTCATTATATTACCAGAAGAAAGAGAGACCAGCTTCTTTAGAAGAAGTTGATCCCAAATTGGGAAAAGGTGGATTTGGTGACAGTACCCCCTCTCTGTGTGTTACCCCAGAACTGCTCTAGGGATCAGGCAGACCATGCCAGAGCTTTGGAAGGCCATGATCCACTCTCCTTCCTTCTTCTCAACTCCAGGAGACTAGATACAAGATGTTATTGTAGAAAAATTGTACCAACACTGAATTGATTTATAAAATTATTAAAATGAGGACAAAATTTTTTCTCTGAAGAGAATGTTTTATTTTTTATTTTTATTTTTTAGAGAGGAGAGAGAGAGAGAGAGAGAGAGAGAGAGAGAGAGAGAGAATTTTTTAATATTTATTTTTTAGTTTTCGACAGACACAGCATCTTTGTTTCTTTGTTTGCATGTGGTGCTGAGGATCGAACCTGGGCCACACGCATGCCAGGTGAGCACGCTACCACTTGAGCCACATCCCCAGCCCCGGAAGAGAATGTTTTAGAAAGTTACAACATCAGCTTCATTCCGAGGCTGATGTCAGTAAGAAGCACAAGAAGGCTGGTATGTTGAACATCCTCCATTTTTCCTCCACACCCTTTCTCTGGTCTTCTCCATTCTCCTTCGTGCCTGCTCAGACTAATGGCAGTCAGGGAGCTGTGTGCCTGCTTCCCATTTCCCACCCTCCTCACTGTGTAGAGTCAGATTTATAGACAGAGTCATCCCCTGTCCTGATGTTTCCAAGATTGTTCTCTAATAGGAAGACCCCAGATAGACTCTAGAGAAGAAAGCACAGCAGATTCTAGAGCCACACAATGGGAACTTGAGACAATTGAAGCATATCAATCACAAGAGCATCAATTCCAGCGGCACTACTCCATGTTAGCCTCTAGAAACCCTCTGGATGATGATACAGGATGAAGCTACTCCTTCTGGGCACCACATGAACTCCAGATGCAGATCCCTTTAGGTCTAGGCTCTGAGCAGGTGAGTGGACCCCTCTCCTGTGATTTCACCAGCTTCTTCCAGCTCTGTTCTGATTGTGCTGTCATCTCAGCCCCAAGCTCTCCACTTCTCCTCATTCCTCCTCTCCCGCAATCCTTTTGACCTTCCTTCTTCAAAAGCTTTAGCTTATTGTTTGAGTTGAGTGATAATAATGTCTATGACCATAACTTTTTGTCCCTTAATGACACAATTGAAGGTTTATAGCAGTTGTTTGTTTTCCCAGAGCAGAGCTTATAAGTGCATTTTCATAGTCACTAAGATTGGCTAATGCAATGGAGTATTCCTGACACAGTGTGCAATCAGAACTGTGGAATTGCGATGAATTTGGAGAAAATGTTTACTTCCGTGTAAGATAAAGACATTTAACGTCTGACCAAGTTATCTTTTGAATAGTCTGTATCTGTATATATCTACCTTTCCATCCACCCATCCATCCATCCATCCACCCATCCATACATTGGTTGTTTGGTCTATCTATCTGTCTGTCTGTCTGCCTGTCCGTCCGTCCGTCCTTCCATCCACCCATCCATACATTGGTTGTTTGGTCTATCTATCTATCTATCTATTTATCTATCTATCCGTCCATCCATCCATCTGTCCATCCACCTTTTATTCTACTTCTCTACATACCTACCTGCCAATCTATCTGTCACTGCTGGGCAATTGTGGTCCTTGATTTTCATGTAGAGAATGAGCAATATTTCAGAGAAGTAGATTTATTTTCTTTATTTAAAAAAGTCTTAAAATTACCCTATAGACCATTTGGTTAGGGGGAGCAGATAAAATGATGTTACCCATGGAACACTGGATCCTCAGGGCGAGCACCCAGCTGGATACCAGCAATACCACCTACTCTGAATCTCACTGAGGCCTCTGCATGAATCTGGTTCAGTGGTTGCACCATGGGTGGGGATTTCTCTGGAAGTTATTTCAAAACCTATTTACATTGTTTTGGATTAAGACATTTAGTTTTCCTGACCCTTCTCTGAGACATTACATTCCAAGGAGATGCTTGTCCTCAGAAATGGACCTGAGTTTTTTTTTGTTGTGAGAACTACAGGATTCTATAATTCTATAGATCTTCTTTATGAAAAAGTATAAAAATGTAATTATGAAAGTAAACATGTTTAGATTTAGAAAATAAATCTCAACAAATTACAGTGTAAACATATGACAAATATCTCAAATATCACACAATCCATAAAAGATATATATTATTTATGATTAATTGCTTGATATACCCTTATAATATTTTCTTTCCTACATATTTTCATTGCATCCTCTGAGTTTTCTCTTCATACAATAATAACTTTTGAAATCACTTTCCATTAAGAAAATAGAAAGATTATTTAGTCATCTACTAGTACCTGATTGAAAATTTTTATTGATAATTGAGATGAATAAAACATTCAGCCTCTTACAGAGATATATGCTCTATTGTGGTGTTGCTAAATATTTGTGTTCTACAAAAAGATACCAGATAAAGGCTACTTCACCTAATAATTATTTAAAAAGGAAAGGCAAAGAAGCATGTTCTATTTATTATCACACATACTTCATTATCAAGTAAGTCTTAACAGAAGAGAATTTCTATCTCATAACTAAATACCAGGAGAACTTCCACTTTAAATTTTAAACATCTGATGATTGAAGAACTCTCTACAGACAGCTTCTAGCTCCATATGATACAAAAGTTGTGTCCTCTTTATCACTGCCAATTTACAGTGTCCAGCACCATAGAGAATACTCATATAGTGACATGACTTCTGGCCCTGCCCTTCGATGTCACGATGCTGTATGAGTTGGCTGTAAAAACACCCTTAAAGTGACTCCCACACCAGGACAACTGACATTAACAACATGGAAGTGACCATGAGTCACATAAATATATACCAGTAAAACCAAATAAAGATATCCCCAATTGGACTTCCCTGTAGATGTAGCCACTGCAACTCCAACGGCTGCAAAAGTCTAATAGAGGAAATTTTTTTCTCTTTATTTCCTTTTTTTTTTTTGTACCAAAGATTGAATTCAGTGTCACCACTTAATTCCCAAGCCACATCCCCAGTCGGTTTTTTTTTGTTTTGTTTTTTTTTAATTTTGAAACTCTTGTTAAGTTGCTTAGGACTTCACTAAGTTGCTGAGGCTGAGTTTGAATCTGCAATTCTCCTGCCTCAGCCTCCTGAGCTGCTGTACCACTACGCCTGGGAAATTTCTACCTGGAAGATGTTAGAAACTTAGCAAAAATATATTACTTTTACTAATTATTAAAAGCATATAACCGTGTAAACACTTTTCAAAGGTTTTTTCTAAAGCCTTGGAAGGGACTGAAATGAGTGAAGGGATTGAAAGATTAATCTCTCTTTCTGTAACTATTTTTATACCCCAGAGTTTCATGAATCTAGAAATCATTTCAGGAACTGTCAGAGGAGAATAAGTTACATTTCTTTGCTTTTAGGGAATAGGGTACTGAGCTTAAGTATCAGTGGTTCAGTTGTTGATACTCATCCAATTCTGATCTGACTCTGTTTATTGCTTTTATTTTATGATTAGTAACTAGGAAAGTAAAATGTATGATAATTCTTAAGAAATTATATTTTTTTCAAATTATACACATTATTTTCAAACAGTAAATTATTAGGGCATAAGAGCTTAATAAGTTGCTTGTTGTTAATTATTTAACAAGAACAGAATTGTTAGGTAGCTTCTGAGCAAAGAAGCATCATGAAGAAATTACAGGGATACTAAGGTGCTTGCTGTGAATGGAATATCTTGGGGAACTCGGTCATGGACAGGTTTCTCAAGTACATGTGTAGGGAAAGGAGATTCAGTTACAATAAGAGTAAAAGGCACATTGATATGCAATATCAACACATCCCCTTTATTTTAAAAATGTAGTTCTATTTTCAACAGGAATCTTAATTTCTTTGCTAGTGAGCAAAGCACTTACTTTTACATCTTTTCTCATCTTTTTTTAAATCTAATTGTGTTAGTTTTTATATGCACTGTCTTTTCATGATAAGTATATATTTTTTTGAAATCCATTAAAAATTTACCCCTTATGAAGGGGATATTTTTGATGGAGCTAAGTAATAAAAGAGCTACTGGGGCAAATGGGGAAAATATCTCACCAGTTCCATCATTCTTATCCATGATGCAAATCTTTTCTTTGAGTTCCCTGTATTCTTGAGAGAGTTTGATTTTGTTTTGTTTTCTTTTTTTTTCAAATGCTTTCACGCCCTTTCTCCTCTATGTTTCTGGCACAATCTCACTGGGAATGAGCTTCTCACCTGCTTCCTCCAGGCTGTACTGAGGTATTGAGCCTACTGAGAGCAGTCTACAACCAGTGGAACTGGACCTGCCCCTACTCTACCAGGATCGCCCTCATTCATACCCTCAGCACAGCCTTGCAAACTTGCTCTGCTGCTCTGGAAAGCTTGCCCTCACCCTCTGTAGCTTCCCATCTCTGCTGCTCTCCTGTAAGGAACCACACCCACTCCCACATACCTGCCACCCACTCTCAGCAAGTCACGACTTCCACCACAGAGAGAATGCTGAAGACAACAGTCAAGAAATACCTCATCTCCCCATCACCCAATCCACCAGCTGCACTGGCATCTTTCTTCATTTCCCCTGATAATAAACATGCCACCAGTTCTTTTTCCAACAAAAGTTGGTCACAGGTGTACAGAATACCATCTGTTCCTCCCTTCCTCACTCCCTTCCTTCCCTCCTTCCTTCCTAGCTCCCTCTCTCCCTCTCTCCTTCCCTAGATGATACTCCAATAGCTGTGTCCTCTCTGCACACATCTCTGATCCTGCATAGAACTTATCACATCCTCCAAACATCCCCCACTGACTCTCCTGTGCACCTATTTCGCCATGTCTATCAGATGAAACACCTTAAAGAGACCTTCTCTTCTTTTCATCTCAGTGAACCTATTAGACGAAAGGTATTTACTAAGGATAAAGAAAGTTCTTCATTGTGTTGAGAGAACTGGAAAAATGGCCTCCAATACTAATTGTATTGGCTTCTTTAAGCAGAGACCTGGGAATCTCCATATTTATTAATTGTTCCAGTTCATTACTACTATTCCAGGGTAAAGACATAGAGCGTTCTAAATCTAGTCTGTTATAAGCAGCTTTAAAGCAATCAAATCTTGATGGTTACCAGAGACTGGAATCTGGGGTGAGCCGCTTAACATGTACCAAGAGTTTCTTCTGGGTGATGAAAATGTTTTGAAACCGAATAGAGATTTGGGTAGCATAACATTTCGAATATACTAAATGCACTTTATAATGGCTTATTTTTTTCTTATGTGAATTTCATGATAAGAAAAGCTGCAGAGGGGAAAAACCAAATTGTATCTAGTGCTTTCTAGAGAAGCAGAAGATGCTTAAAAATATTTCTGATGGGCTGCTTATTGGGGAATAAACAGAATAATTACCTCAGGAGAGAGGTTGGTTGGTTCTGGTAGAGAAGAATAGTCTATACAACATTTTTTTTTCTTCAACAAAATGTCGGACCATGAGGATTCAGGAATACACTTAGTTAAGTGTCTGTTATTCGTCTGCATTGGGACCCTAAGGAGAAAGATAAAACAATTTTTAAGATAGATTTTAAAAGTGTATTTTATTTTATTAGCCCATTTTAAAAACTGTTGCTCACACATGAGATATGAAGCATTGACAATCCCGTGTAAGTAAACACGGAAAGAAGAGGAATTAAAAACAAGCTATAATTATTCAGCAGTTTCCAGCACATTTCAGCCTCCGTTTCAGGTTTGCCTCATTTTAAATGGAGGAAAGCTACACGTTGGGGACTAATTTGCATTGATAGCACGCTGTACCTTAATGGGGCTGTTGCAAAAGCTGAGGCTGTGAATGGGATCAATAGTGCATATTCTTTACTAAGGCTTTTTAATGCATTTAACCACTTTCGGGTATTAGTCTTAATAAGCTTTCCAAGCTTTGACTATTATTGCTCCTCAGAGTGTTAATAAAAAAAGAAAGAATTGCACATTGTATTTCCATTAAATAAGCAAATTCATATTAGAAATCATTATAAAAACTAATTATTTAAGAAGAAAAGCCATACTGCTGGATAGAAAATCTAGCCATTACATTGTTAGGATGTGAAAATATCCTTGATCTCCCACGCATCTTCTCTAACTCAGTGTTTATTTCTACAGTTCAAACAAGTCTTTTGCTTCTCCGTATGGGGGTGAGAGAAAGTCACCTACCTGGAAGGTCTTTATCTTCCTGGGACTGGCAGTGGGTGGTCTTGGGCTGGGCTCACTCTCTGGGTGTTCACTGTATTGGTTGTCTACCATGCACGGGGCACTTGACACGTGTTCTCTCATTCATCCTTCACAAATAACTATCCTCGCTTCATAAACAAGAAAATGGCCCACACATTTAGAAAGTGATGAGTTCCAAACCCAAGGCAGTAAACCTCCCGAGTCCTTCACTCTTCCTAAGGCATGAGCTGCTGGGAATTAGTAAAAGGAATAATCCCCTCTGGCTCTAAGTATCCAGGAAATGGGAGCAGCAGAGAGGATACCGACTTCCTCAGGGGTTGGCTATAGCTCCGTTGCCTGACATAGAAGGAGAGTTTTTGTTGGCCTCCAACCTTGGAAGGGTGCATTATTTGAACTTAATGAGAGAAGTAGAGTCATTAAATTGACTCCCTGACTCTTTCTTGAAAGAGATAATATCACTGTCATCCACTGAGAAAACATCAGCTTAAAACTATTACAGAGTGTCTCCCATAATCAAGGACGTGTTATCAAGGTGCAGGAAAAGCTGGATTCAAATTGACTTCTCATTTATTACTTGGGTCTCATTGTCATGCTATATTTTCCACTATATTTAAAAAATATTAAAATGCTTTACAAAGCTTTTGGCAAGAAGTTTTAAAACATCAAAATCCAATTCTCTGCCACTTAGCAACCATTTAATTTAGGAGTATATAATTGAGTTTTCTGATTTTAAGGTACTTATGGACTAAAAATTCATATGCCCTATTTCAGCCCAAAGATAAATTTTTTTGGACAAGCATAGCCTTTCTAATAGACCTTGAACTGCTGTGACTCTTTTTTGCAGGTATAACTGTAATGAGGTTTGATCTCTTGCTTGAGTTTATTCTCCACCTGGACTTGAATCTATAATGAATCATCAGCTGGAGTGTATGATTCCATCTCAGGAGGATGCCGGCAAGAAAGGTCAGGAGAAATTTGGTCTTTGTTTAAAGTGGTCCCAGCAAAAATACCTCACTTAAAAACCTGCTGGAAGTTGGCATTTTCTTTTGTATCAGTGTCTGCGCTCTAATGAGCAGAGCAGGAAGGAAGTAAACTTTTGTTAATATAATTGGCATCAGGATTTACAAAGCCTCAGTAAAACAAAGAGATAGTACATCACACTTAAAATATCAGATCTTATGTCAGATACAGTGGATGTGTCTTTTAACTAGCGTAACTTTACATGTAGCCAAGGGACACTTACATATCAATAAAGATGGTGATGAGTCACATCCAAGATGTAGGTATATGCATTTCTATGACTAAGATTAATTCAAATGTCAACAAATGAACTATGGACAAGCAGGATTCAGGGGTTGCAAAAATGTTTTTCAACCTTTTCAAAATCATGTTTCAACCTTCCCAGTTTTATTGTAGAGATCAGAGGTAATATCACTCCTTTTAGATGAACTTCTTATCACATGTCTCTCTTGTATTTGATGCTATATCAATGTTTTTTTAATGACTGAATAAATCCTTTTATTATCAACATGCACAGAATGTTTATCAATGCTTGTTGATTGAATGCATGAATATTCAATTGAATAACAGAGTGACAGAATCAATCACATTCCTTCTGTGTCTCATTGGCTTTTACAAGTGTTAAGTTGAATCTGGAAGTGCTCCCAGGGAGAATACAACTATGCTGAAGAAACAACTTTCCAGCAAGATGAAATAATTTCAGCTTGGAAAATTACCCTTGGTGTCCTCAGAGTTTGGTTGGCAGAGACAGTCTGGCATTCTTGGGGTAAAAACAACCTGCCTTTTAGTAGACCACACATGGGTTTTTCTCTTCCACTTGCAGGAATGATACTACGAGTGGAAATTAGAATCATGTAGGAGTATTTTTATACAGGGACAGCCAAACACCAGGCATCCTTTTTGAAGGGAATTTCTATGGTCAGAAGAAGGTGTTGTAGAAGCAATGGATTTCCTGGAGTCTTGAACCACTGTGAGGAGACTCAGTTGCTTCGAGAGATGCCAGATCCCTAACGCTGAACAAGTGGGGTGTAACAGAAACTGCATCATGGCTTGTGAAATCAAGTTCTTAAGTTATGATAAAAACTCAAGGCTAGTTATGACTTTTACTTGACCTCTTTAGAGTGCAGTAAGATGATATATATAAAATAACCAGCTGCTCTGTAATGGTAATTAAATGGATACATACTACCTCTGAATGTTCATTATCTGCCTCTAGGGCTTTGTCAGTTACACATAGTTTATCATGAATCTATAATAAGACATAAACATGTTTGGTATCAAATATGAAGTTTGACTAAACACAACGAATGGTCCCTGTTCTTATGGCATTCACAATGTAGGAGAAAAGATAGACATTAATACTTACATTTTTTAGAGTGTACCGTGGTAACTCACTTTAAGGAAAAATTAAAGTAAAAATTAATAATGCAGGAGCAGTAGTACCATTATTCTTTAGGATATTATGTCATTGGTGAATGATTTATATGGACTATAAAATTGATATGTCTGCTTTAATGTTCACTAGTTATATATATTTTTTTGTTCATAATAAAGGATGGAGAGAGAAAATTATGGGTTCTGGAATCAACAGAAGAAGTTTTCTCAGCTTTGCTCCTCGAGAGGTGAGTGGCTGGGCCTAAAGAAACAAAGAACTGGGATGTCGTATTTAGAATTCTTATTTTCAAGGAAGAGACCCTCCTTCGAGTCTGAGGAGAACACTGTAGGTTTTGCTTCAACTTTTCAGTGTTTCTGAGTAGAAGCCTAGAAGCTACCAGCACTGGAAATACCTGTTGTGGCGCTGGTGAATGAGCAAGGCCCCCAGAGCTGATACTGAAGCAGGTGGTCTGGGGTGGGCCTCTGCATGCTGATTTCCTAGCAGGGGACTATGTTACCCATCTGGAAGCTATGCTTTATGTGAGGCTCATTCACTCCAGAAAAAGTATCCAGAGCTATGCTTCCTGACCATATAGGGGCATAGGACTCTCTCAAGAGCTCTAAATGATTTGAAGGTGTACTTCTCATTAACTGTGACTTGGGCCTTCCTCTTGGGGTCATGCCACCTCTGGCAGCACTTTTGTGGGTCCCTGGACTCTGCCACATTCCCAATATGAGACATGCCTCTCCTCTTCTTGTTGCCCCTAAAGGCTCTGCCCACTGCCTCTGCTCCCAGCCGCCCTCTGCCCTTCAATAATCTTCAGCTTTCCCGGATATCAGCAGAGATGTTGCCTTCCAGCAGTTTCTGTATTAAACTCTGTAATAGCTGTTGAGGGAGGAATACACCAGAAGCCTGGGCACAAAAAAACACTGCCATACACTGGAGACTGAACAAACCACACGTCTACATACACAAGTTAATTTGAAAAATAATGATCTGAACCAGGAAGCCAGTGGACCTGCATGTGACTGGTGTGGAGAGGTGGTGGTCAGGCCCTGCTGTTGTACTCACCACCACCCCCACCGCACCCCCTTTCCCCTACTTTTGATTGTCACTAGAATAAATAATTACATTGTGGCTTTGGGGACCAGCCCTAATTTGAATCACAACAGACTCAGAAGACTCTAGACAAATATTCACTTCCCAAACATTTGAGTCACTCAAAATGCTTCTCAAGTCCTCACCCCCATTTTCAGTCCTAATGACTTCGACTTGTGGCTATTTCAGACACCCAGATGGACGAGGATCCCAGTCCTCATAAGGATCCTACATTTCTTATTTCCAATGCCCAAGGCTGCTTAGCCCACAGTCCTTGGAATATTGAGGGTACTAACTTAATTGTACCTGCTCTTCACATACCCTACAAGGACTGGAGTCCTGCTCTGACCAGTTGACAGGAGTCCTGGTACTATTTCCAGACAGCAGAGCTCTCCAAAGCAAACCTTTTTGTTTTTGAATTCACCTGCTCTTGAACTCTTCACTCTTTATTAGGCCCTCTGATGCCAGATGTTTACCTAGATAGACTCCTGATGTTTGGCTTGTTGTTATAGTGACCTCACAGGTCCAGTGGTACTAAACTTCAGTGTACATCAGAATCCCCTGGAGGGTTGTTAAAACACAGAGTGCTGGGCTCCCACCCCTGAGGTTCCCCCACCCCCACCCCTGAGTTTTTGATTCTGTAGAACTGTAGGTGGGACTGGGACATTTAAATTTCTTTTATTTTCTTTCTGTTCTTTCTTTCTTTTTCTTTTTTTTTTTAAGATTTTTTTTAAGAGAGAGCACGTGAGAGAATTTTTAATATTTATTTTTCAATTTTCAGCGGACACAACATCTTTGTTTGTATGTGGTACTGAGGATGGAACCTGGGCCGCACGCATGCCAGGCGAGCGTGCTACCACCTGAGCCACATCCCCAGCCCCTCTTTTTCTTTTCTATTTTTTTTTTTAATTTGTAGTGCTGGGGATGGAATACAGGCCATGCTAGGTAAGCACTCTCCAACTGAACGACACCCCCAGCCTGAGTTTGCATTTCTAACATGTTCTCAGGTGATACTGGGAATCATAGCAAGCCCAGTACTAAATTATTAGAATAAATTTTCCTTTTCCAGAAGTTCAAGTTGTACCCATCCTCCAGTAGGCAAGACTGATTCATGGTCCTAGGACCTCTGATCTTTTCAAATTTTATTTCAGCTTATGAGGATATGTCTAGCCTGATGAAGTCATTTTTATATAGTGAGTGTTTGAATTTATACATGCCTTCCAACTTCCAAACCACTTCATAAGTACAGAAGCAGAATTACATTTTTTATTTTTTTCAGGATATTTCATTTTCCAAACAAGAAACAGGGCTTCCCAAAAGTCCACATTATAAAGCTAACCAGGTTACAATGTAATCAGTGAACAGCATCCCACTGACTCAGCCTCCCATGTTGTTGGTACACATGTGAATCCTAGTAGGTAAGACACTCCACAGCTCCACTGGGTAATTTAAGGAGAGTTCAGCAAAGGAACTATTTGGGTTTAAGGAAACTACACTAAGGATCGTGTAGGACCCCAGGACTAGGAACAGTGACCTCCAGTGCTGGAACCCAGCTTTCCAGAGTAGCTGTTTAGAAAGTAATGCCTAAGCACTTTTGAATGATAGGTGACCAACCCATAGCAATCTGGCAGAGAAAAATCTGGGGGCATAAATGCCTGGCTCTCCCTTTCCTCCTACCTATGGTCTTCCATTGGTGCTACCATGAGAACAAAGTTCAGGAATTCAGTGGCAAGAGAGCCTATGGCTACAGTTAATAAGGGTCAACTTCCCAGGGCATAGAACAGTTAGAAACCTGTAAAACATGGTTCTGGAGGCACCCACACAAGGTGTCTCAGGAAAATCTACATCCCTCCTCTCATAGGCTCTGAGGGCTTAGCTAGCCTCTGCTCTATTAATATGGTGAATAATTAGGGTGCAAAAGCCTAAGGGGTTGTCTCCTTTAGATGAAGACTCAAGAGAGGAAAGACAGAGTTAGAGAACAAGGAAGTCCCCCCATGGTTCTGTTTCTGTCCATCCTGGAAGTTTTGGGCGACTTGGAGGAGAGCTTCATGATCAAGAAGCTGGCTGAGGTGGGGGGTGCAGATGCAGACCTTGTTTGGCAGGAAGTTCAACTTTCCATGTTTAGCGCGGCGTCCTTTGATCTTGAAACATTTGCTAGCATAGACCTGAAGAAAGGACAGCTCTATTTCTTGGGGTCTACAAGACACAGCAAACAGACCTTGTTCCCTTCTTGTGCTAGATACCACACCCATCTTTGGGGGTCAGTGATGGTGTGGCTGTATCACAATACCATCAACAGTCAATTGTTATCGACTCTCTTCTTTCAGTATCCATAATAATAATTGTGAAACTTGCGACATCAGTTATATCTCTAAATAATTGAGTGATCCTTGCTAATTATTTTAACATTCTTAGATGACATATGTTATATGCTTTTTCTTTCCCGAAAAGGTGCAGAAATGAAGATATATGGAGTTGAAGGACAGAGGTCTCGCAAGTTGCTTTTTCTCTTGCAGACACTAAACATTTAATCGCTAAACATGGTGAAAACACCGTAAAAAAGATAAAGTCATTGCTGTAGAAGCTCAATAATATGTTATTCTGTAAAGTACCTTCTGTCTGCTTGTGACTTTTTCATTTAGGTTTAAATTCAGCAAGTAAAGAGTGAAAAGAAGATATAACTATGCTCTCTTGAAAGGAACAGGATAGATCTAGAGTAGATTGAAATGTGTTTTGAGGCAGGGGAGGAAAAGACCATGTGTGAAGAGGGTTGGGGACGGTTAGGAGGAAGGCTTGGGAGAGAAGCTCTCACACAGTACACAGTCCGCTTTCCCTGACTGCAGTAGATTCAGTGCTGTTTTGGAGTGTGGGCCTAAGACTTTCTGATTTTTCTAGTTTCTTCCAAAAGACAAGGTCTGAAATTTATTAAGTCTCCTAATTCTTCAGTGTTGACTAGTAAAGACAGAAGAAAATGTTGTGGACCAAATAAAGTACATTGAAAATAAACACAAAAAAGAACAAATAAAAATGAAGAAAATAATAAATAACACAGAATTAAATTTAAAACATATAAAAGCACTAAATAAAATAAATCTAATACCATCTATCCCTCAGAGTTCAAGTCAGGACTCTGAGAATGGAAATCTATTCCTTGATAGAGAAAGAGCCTCATTAAATGCACTGTCCTCTGTATTAAAATATAAAATTTATCTTCCAGGATTAAAGTCAAGTGAGGGTATGTTGTTAAATATAGAACAATTCTTCTGAAGCTAATTTTATTCAAACTTGCTTGTTTTGCTTCAAACTTTGTCTTCCCTCCATTTTTTTTATGAGTGTATGAAAAGCACCGGTATTATTTACACTTTTGCTTTTCACCTATTCTCAACATCCAGAGTGAAAAGTGAAAAACCCCCACCTCTAATTTGTTGAAATTTGTCAGGCAAAAATAGGTCTCCTTTTTAACACCATTTTAGTAATAATTCATCACAATGTTCCACAGAGAGATAAAGCAGACGCCCACGTTATCATTACGTGTTCATAATGTGGGCTCTGTGGTGTCTTTAATTTCCCTGCACCTGCTGTCACATGAGTCCCCCTCTTTTTAAGGTTTGTGTTTTCTATTATGCTGCCAGCATAACCCTCAGCCTCACGTTGCAAACTGCTGTTGTAGAATAGGAAAAGCAGATGGGTACAGCCTGCTTTGGCCTCATTTTCACCCATCCCTCGGCCCCCCATTTTCTTTTCACAAGGCATTGCATGTGATGTGTGGTATGGATGTCCTGGGGCCATGAATCAGGAACCTCAGTGACAGGATTGGCTCAGTAACTTATGGGGTTGGATAAGGATGCATTCTGGAGTAGTCTCCTCTTCTATTAAATGAGGGCATCTGATTCAATTTCAAGTTCTCTTTCCAAGCCCTGAGGAAAAAGCAGATTTCTCTCCAGAAAGCAAAGTCCTACCCAGAAAAATGCTTATATAGGGTGTCCTCAAAACCAATTATTCTCTACTCAAAGACTGGATAGCATTTGACACAGACTGTGGGAAGCCCAGGACTTATCAATAGAACTCTCACCTCTTCGATGAAAGGACTGTCAGGGGCAGACAGGGGATAGAAAGGGGAAATCCTATGAAATGACAGTGGCCAAATAATATTGCTATATTGTGTGCATGCATGAATGTGTAAAAATGAATCCTTCTGTATGGACAACTATAATGTGCCAATAAAACAAAAGATACAGGAAAATATATATATATATATATTTCTCCTTTCTACCCTGCCTGACTAGGACTGCTTTCTCTGTTCTCTGCACAAAGGACCCAGCCTCAGCCTCTTGCTTAGATTCTTTGAGCAAACCTCTTCTTCTAGTTAGTATTTTGTCTTTTTGAGATGTTGGTGTTTCCAGAAATACCATGTGCTAAGCACTCATATGTATTATCTTATTTAATGCAACTCGGTGAGCTAGACATTAATGCTTTTATTTTGAAAATGCAGATACTAAGGCTAAGATAGATCAAGGACCCACCTGGTAAGAGCTGGAGCTGGAGCTGTGAAACTCTTCTAAGGGTATTATCTGCTCCTTTAAACCTGCTATCTTTTCTCCTTCCTTCTCTCCCTCCCTTCCCCTCCCCCTCCCCCTCCCCTTCCCTCCCCCCTCCTCCTTCTTCTTCTTTTTAAATAAAAGAGGATTTAAAACCTTCTCTCTCTTCTTGGGCGTGGTACTACAAGGCTATAATCCCAGCAGCTTGGAAGGCTGAGGCAGGAGGATCTCGTGATTCAAAGCCAGCCTCAGCAAAAGTGAGGCACTAAACAACTCAGTGAGACCCTGTCTCTAAATAAAATACAAAGTAGGGCCAGGGATGTGGCTCAGTGGTTGAGTGCCCCTGAGTTCAATCCCTGGTACCCCAGCCCCACCAAAAAAAAAAAAAAAAAGCTCTCTCTTATCCACTTCTCTCTCCTCTCTTTGACTTGGATTCTGTTTAGTAAAAAACAGTTCGTCACACACAGCACAGCAGCAAAGCCAGCTCCTCCTTGAGGCCTCTGGATCTTGTATACCCTGGAGGAAGGGAAGGAGAAGGAGCAGAGGCCAGTCAGGAATTCCAGAAGGCTGAGGAGTCTGCAGTAGTGAGGGAAAGAAAGAGATTTATACAATAGTAGAAACCAAGATATAAATTTTCCTCTGGGCATTAATGGGATGTCGTGCATTATTAGTGTAAACAATTGCTAGAATACATTTGCTTTTTTAACGTGATCTTTCTTTAGCTTTTGTTTGGGTATCAGTGGTATAGAACATACTCTCTGGTATTTCTTAGGGGGAAAAGGTAAGAAAGAGGAAAAATTTAAGACATAGAATTGAAATTATTATGGTGGACTGTGGATATCAGCTGTAGCTATATATTGAAGATAATTACTCTGCTGCTGCCCACTTCATGTGAGCCTGCTTGTGGAAGAGCAATTGGTTTAGATAGAGAAGTGGCTTAATTTAGGCAATAAGGAAGCCGTAGTCAGCAGATCATACATCCCTTGCAACAGAGATTTTAACAGTCTTTTTCACAATAGCTGCATCACTGGAGTGGGATGTTCAAGAGTGAGTCACACTCAAACCCTGACTCCCTTCTTCCCAGAAACTTCTCAGAGTTCCCTTGGGCAACTCACCCTCACTTCAGTTGTCTTGTGTGTAAAATGGTGATGGGTGACACCTTCCACGTCATGGAGTGTAGTTATGAGGCTTAACTGGTATAACACATTTACAGCATTTAGGACAATGGAAAATGGCAAATGTTATGTATACATAGGTATATACACAAAATACAATATGTATGTGTGTCTATACATACATATATATATATATAGTATTTTTGTGTGTATATATAGATACATAATGAGTATATATATATATATATATATATACATATATATACTGTTATATACACATATATATACTATATTTGATATTAATGAGTCTGTGATCAAACATCAGTTTGGAACTATCTAGGGAGTGTAACACAAGGACACTGAATTTCTTTAAAATACACGAGAAAAATGTCACAGAGCAAGCCACCTGAGGGCACTTTGATTTACCCATCTGTGATTTCTTTTTGCCTTTTACTGACATACTGTTACAATTGCTGTGATTCAGTAGAAGTACGTCAAGATAAGCTCTCCGTCTTCTGGGGCCTTCTCCAAGGTTAGCTATTCAGGGTTGCACCTCAGAGGAGGTGGCTCAGGAAGTACACAAGTGCTTCATCTGTCCTCTCACCTATTTATTCCTCCTGCAGGGTCTCTGTGTATCTTGATGTCAACACTGCGTAGTTGTAGTCCTGAGTCAAACTGGATGGAATTCCTTAAGTGGAACCTAGTCTCGTTGGATACAAGGTGTTATTCTGACTCGGAAAACAAATTATTCATGATTCTGTTATTCGTTACCAAAGGATTCCCAGGAAGAGACTAAGAGACGTATAAATATGACTCTTTATATTGTTATGATTCATGTAGTAAAAAGAGGAAGGGAAGAATGTCATTCTGGAGCCAAGCAAGCATCCCTGACGTCTCAGCATCCTGATTGTCAATGCATGTAGGAAATTTCTCCCTGTTGACTCACAAGTCTATGGAACCTTTATGGGCTCCACTGCTGTTTTGCTGAGATACCTCCCACCTCTGCTACATCCCAGAACCTGCTATTCATCCTGTTTCTAACTCAGTTTATAAATCTATAACTGATGGACAAAAATATTTACTTATGACTGAGTAATATTGTGAGATTTCAAACATGTAAAATGATACACTTGAAAAGCATGGAGAAAATATTGTGTTTGAGTACTTGTACAAGGTTGGTGTAAATGGGAAGGGAACAGTTTGGAAAAACAACAGAATTAAATGCATCTGCTACCTGAGACAGCCACTCAATTAAAAGACACTTGTTTTTAAAAGCTGAAGACCAAATAAAAATTGTTTAAATGTTGATTGATCCACAGAAGTGTCCAGGGAGGTGACTGAGTGATTTGAGAACTTCACAGATCCAGATCCTACCTCTGATTCTTCTACGGGTGACTGTGTGTCACTGGTAACATCAGCCAACCCTCTGAGCTTCACTTTTCTCATCTGAAAAGGGGGATGATGATACCACCTTTAGAAGGTCATAAGGACCAAGTAGCATATATAAAGGGCTTAGAGTAATGCATGGCACTCAGGTTCAGTCAGGTACATGTTGAACGGACAGCTCTCACAATTAATGGACTATAGTTTCTCAATTTGAGGGTAACAAATGAATCTAATAAAGCAGATTTTAGGGCAAGGTTTCTGACTGACCTTTTGATCTCTTCAGAATAAGTCAACATTGCTTTGTTTGTTCTTCTCAACCCTTGAAAGAATGTGGTTTGGGTCTCTCTCTCTCTCTCTCTCTCCTTTTTTTTTTTCCAAACTAGAATCCAGAGGTTCATGACCACATACTCAGCAGGAGAATTTCATTTTATGAACAAGTTGTTTCCCAAAAATTTGTTTGTCTGTAGGCAGAATTAAAAATACTATTCAGAATTAAAAGTACTATTTTTCAAAGAGAAACACAACTACAAATGGTGAGGGCAACCTGGGGCCAAGCGAGGACGTAATAGCTTATTTACCACAAAGTCCTTGAATTGCTGCAGAGTTAATGACGTATTCCATTCCTCATATGCTGCAGACCCCCAGCTCCAGGCTCAGAAGCAGAGCCCTGTCTCCACTGCTCAGGATTAGATGGCTCTCCTTCACTTGCTGGATGACGGGGCTCTGTCCACACAGGATCCAGCACACTGCCTTCCCGCCACCCTTCTCTCCACCAAGACCACATGTGTCCTCTGCTCCTTCCACCCTCTGCTCCTTTCCTCTGCTCTCACGCAGGGCATCCAGACTGCCCGGGATGCTTTCTCTACCCCCCTGTCATTGTTCCCTCTCCTTCACTTGTAAAAGTTAACTCATCCTTCCAACAACATAGCTGACCCTCTTCCAGGCTCCTGTCACCTTACAGACAACTTCCCTGTTGCCTCGTCACCCTGGTTAGAAACAATGGGGTGTAATCCATCTTTCCCACTATCTGACACATTTAACTAGAGATTTATTTGTCTTGATGTGCCCACCACCTAACCTAGGTAACTAGCATATAATAATAATAATAATAAAAATAAATTATAACAATAATAAATATTTTTAAGTCGTGGGCACATTTCTCTAAATGCTTTATATGGAATCAATGTCTATCTTCTCCCAAAAGCCTAAAGAGTGGGAAACATTTTACAAAGGATTAAGCTGAGGTACAGAGTAGTTAAGCAACTTACCCAAGGTCAAAGAGCCAGTAAATAGTGAAAAGTAGCTGAGGTATAAATCCAGAATGCAGGAACAAATGTCTTTCTCATGTCCCTGCTGCTTTTTTGCAGTGTGTCCCTCTAATAAGTCTTCCCTCTCTTAACTTTATTTGGTGAGTTCTTCTCACTGAAAAATCAATCAACCAACCAATCGACCAATCAATCAATGCAGAGTGCAGTCCTGTGTGTGAAGGATTGAATATATATACATACATATCACATATTAGTTACACTCATAAAAAAATAATAAATGGTCGTGGGTACCCTTCTGTTTCCAAACAACATGTGTTTGGAAGGACATTGCTTCCTGACAGAGGGAAACATCCCTAAGAAGTGACACCAGGACCTTGCCCCAGAGAGAGGGCATAGGTGCTGTGGGCTTCTCCCTGGGGCCCTCAGAAGCTCAGGGCTCTTGCTAGTCCTCAGCCAAGTTCAGTAGGCAAGCCTCAGTCCTTGGAGAAGAAGGTGGTCTAGAGACACCTGCTAAGGCTTACAAATGAGGGTGACACTGGTCTGACCAGTTGGCAATTCCCAGGAAACTAGACCTCCTTAAACTCGGCTATGAGCACTTAACCTCGATTGCTCTCCTTCATTAGCTCACTCTTCCCTCTGCTCCACACACACCAGCTCCTCTTCATTCTTTCATGCTCAGCTTACATGTCACTTTCTCTAGAGAACTGGAAGGGGAACGGTGACCATGGAATTGCTCCCCCATGATTCCCTGTGTTGGCATCCCGTCTGTTTCCTTGTTTGACGTGCTTGTCTTCTTGGTCTGTCTTCTCCTTCCCCGTGAGACTGTAAGTTCTCTGAGGGCAGCATGAGGCATCTCTTTTTTACTGTGTCTTCTGTACCCAGCATCTGTTTGGCCTTTACTACAAATTGGTATTGGATTAAACGAATGGGTCAATGACTCAGCCTT